TGAGTATTTTTTTTGAATACCCCCCGACCCCCGATCTTCGTACCAGATTTCATCCGGATCGGTTGATATCGACCTCGATCCAAATTTTCATGAGTGTTTTTGGTCGCTCCGAAAAGATTAATATTTTTACGAAAGATGGAGGTCGATGAGATATATCGTTAAATACCATAAAGTCCCCCCCAAGCCCCCTCCATTTAATTGTAATTAAGCATTTTTTAAAAAATTGCAGCATCCCACACAAACCGTTCCCGACAGCAAACGATACGACTTGGATAAAACTTTTTAGTATCATCGGATAGAGGAAGGGCCAAGGTATATAACGTATAAATTTCAAATTCTCAAAATTATAAATAAGCGAGATATTAAACTTTGAAAATCGACCATCGATTTTCGGGCCGATTTTTGAGCCCGAAATGCGATTTCGAGGTAATTTCTCAAAACTGGATAAAATTCTGCATGGGGGGGTTTTCGAGGATGAGAAATTCGAATTTGTAATGATTTTTTGAAAATATCGATAAATTATCGATGATTTATCGATATAACCCATTTTCCCGTATACCCTGCATTTATAATATTTTTTTAATTTTTTCAAATACTTACGTTGTTCTGAGAAGGTAAAATTTTTTATCAAAGATAGAGGTCAATGAGATCTATCCACAGATACCATAAAATACCCCCCAGACCCCTCCATTTAAATATAATTAATTATTCTATATATATTTGTAACCCCATGAAAAAACCGTTCCTAACGACAAACGGTATAACTTGTGGGAATCATTTTAGTATTTTTTTATAGAGAAACGACCAAAGTATTTACCACATAAATTTCAAATTCTCAAAATCAGATATAAAACATTCAAAATTGATTATTGATTTTTAAGCCGATTTTTCCATTTAAACTGAGATTTTTAGGTTATTTCTCAACCCATATGAATCCGAGAAAGTTGAAATTTTTACGCAAGATACGCACCACTGAGGTCTATTTGCTGATATGATAACGTTCCCCCCAACCCCCCATTTTCGGTTAATATTTGCATTTTATTATTTTCGTATTTTTCATGTTTTTCTTCAAAAATTGTGGATTTTCAATTTTTTAAATATCTACGTTTCTCCCAGAAAGTTGAATTTTTTAACAAAGTTAGAGGTCAATGAGGTCTATTATATAACCCATTTCCACATGTACCCTGTACTTAAAGGGGTTTTAATTTTTTAAAAATACTAAATATCATCCTAGGAAACCCAATTTTTTTTTTATAAAATAGAGCAAAGTGGAGTCTATCTTAAAAAAATAAAACTCCCCCTCCGCCCCACCGTTTAGGCCCTATCGGTCGTTATTTAAAATTTTTATTTTTTTTTCAAAATTTGCTGGTTTCGACAAACGGCGAGGTTTTTAAGCGATTTTTGATATCGTCCGATAGATCTCGGCGAAAGATATATCGCCTATAAATTTTGGCCTCCTGCGATTATAAATAAGCGAGATATCGATAATCAAAAATTCGTCGCGAAATCTTGACATAATTTCAAGGTCATTTCTCCGGAGGGAACGAAATTTCGCCTAAGGGGGTTTACGAAAACCGCGAATCCAAATCCGATAATATTTTTTGGAAGTATCGACAAATTGTCAATAATCTATCGATTCGACATTTTGACACCCCTCGTACACTCTCAACCATAAAAATTGCTAAGCCCCACTTGTATATAAATTTTCCTGATCTTATCGGCCTTTTCGGAAACGAACGTCTCCAATCTACCTCAGAAAAATATAAACCCCTTTCCCGAGAGGGTTTAACAAATTTAAAATATTTCCCGAAATAAAATTTCGATGAAAACCTCCATCCGCGCCCGAGAGTTTGACCTAAGACCAATTTCCTATAACAAAACTTGTCGTAACTCGAATCACGCCAATTTCATGCCCCATCCCCCCTTAATAATAATAAAATTTTATACCGCCGCCAGGTCTTATAAGTTCTTCAAAAAAAAGTGCAATACAATGAGCGGACACTGGCCAAAATCACCTAAAATGCCTTCGACCTCGAATAACTTCCAAGGTCGCAGGAATTGACCTCCCAAAGGTCATTTTAGGAACCCCCCGCGCCCCTTCACAAAAGTCTCAAACATGAACGGAATCGCCCGGGGGCGTAAAAAAGCGCCAAGATCGAACTTGTCGGGTGGTCAGAAATGGGCCCGAAATCGTGTCGCCGAGGTGTTTACCCGGAATAGGCTGCCTTCCTATGGGTCCGATTTTAATTCGGTTTGGGTCAAAACATTCCAGAGAGTCCAATTAATATGTCCAAAAAGTTTGGAGGCCCTGCCCCACCGATAAATCTATTTTTTAAAGACGTTTTCCAATTTTCGACCAAAAACGGCTCCCGCAAGTTTGACCTCGATTATCCGCTACGCCCCTGGCAGGATCTCGGCGCAAAAAAAAATCACCGACCCCCTTGTCCGTTTCTCCGAATTTTGGCGAATTTTCAAACGCGACGATGACGAAAATCGGCAAAAAAAGGGACCCAAATCTACCCCCTTAAATATTATAAAATCGCGTTTTCGCCAAGATAGCTTTCCTATCCCGCTCCAAAATTTCCCCCCACCACCGTTAGTTGCCCGACTTTTCGCATAGATTTTGAAAAAATCCATTTTTTCTTCCTAGGGTAAGTTTCGGCAAAATTTAAACGGGCGGCCCGGTCCCCCCGTACCACTTGGCCGGGTTCCGATCGCGCACGCGGACAGCCCCGACCCCCCTAAATTCGCGTCAGGCGAAAGCCCCGTCCTCTCCTTATCTTAAAGAAATTCGACGCCCCTCCCGGTCCCATAGGGCGGGAGGGAGAATTTTTCAAAACTCCACAGACGGGTATAGGACATGGGCTTTCAGAATGATGCCCGAGTATAGGCGCGTCGACGTAGGTACTCGGATTTTCGATCCGTCCCATAGGAGACAAGATCATCCCGAATCTCAAAACCTCCTCAATTTTGAGGGGGGCTCTTTTTGAGGGTTCCAGTGCGCCTCGGGTCCCTCTACGCATCGGATCACACGGGAGCGTAAAACGGTAACGCGGATGACCGCGCGCGCGAACGTAGACGACGCGAGCGGCGCGAACCGCCCGCTGACCCGTCCGACGCCGGCACACGGTTTCCGGATACCATTCTGCGTGCTTGGTTCGAGAATACCGTGACAGCCGTCGCTTTGTGAGCGAACGGCGCACGCGTTCTGCCTAACCGAGTAAGTAAAGAAACGATGAAAGTAGTGGTATTTCACCGGCGATTTTGCAATCTCCCACTTATGCTACACCCCTCATGTCTCCTTAAAATGCCAGACTAGAGTCAAGCTCAACAGGGTCTTCTTTCCCCGCTAATTTTTCCAAGCCCGTTCCCTTGGCAGTGGTTTCGTTAGATAGTGGTTAGGATGCGCGTCACTAATTAGATGACGAGGCATTTGGCTATCAAACGTTTATTCAAAATAAATATACATATTACAAAAATAAACTTTTCTGATGAGTAATGGCCGCAGTGGCCGCCGAAGAAAAAGAAAGAGAAGCGCGGAAGAGCAGCACGCGCAGGTGCAGGCGAACCGCAAGTAGCCGACAGGCAGGCGGCATAAGGCCGGCGCAGCTTAAAAATAAGACAACTTAGTCTAGGCGTTAAAAAAAAAACAAGTTGGTTGGTTAAAATTGTAAGGAGGTAAAAATAAAAGCGTGTATAAGGACGGACACGTGGCGACAAAGACAAGCAGTCGGCGCAAACTTAGCCTAGGAGTTAAAAAGACAAGTTGGTAAGTTAAAATAGTAAAAGGTTAAAAACAAAGTCGTGTATAGGGACGAACACGAGATGACAGAGACAAACAGTCGGCGCGGCATCGCCCGACAGGGTAGGCTGCACGCGCCAAGGGCACCCCACCCCCATAGCGGGGCGCGGCGCCCGCCGGGGCTTAGCGGACCACAGTTGACAGGGTCAGAGCGATCGGTCGTCCCACACGGTGGCCCCGAAATGCCGGTGAATCATGCAGCCGCCCTTCAGCACGCACGAAACGAGGCAGAGGGCGACTGACGGGTGCAGCCCCAAACTCCCCACCACACCGTCGTTTAGCGGGCACCAAGTGCCTCGAGCCCCCAAGATAATCGCTCGGACCGAGACCACATCGCCCGGATACGCGGCCTTCACCGCCTCCAAGAATGGAGGGGTGGAATACGTGGCCACCTTGTGATCGAAGTGGTCAACGAGCGGTCTTGGGAACTCCCAGTGGACGCCCACGTCCACCACCATGGTGCGACCGTCTCCCCGGATGACAAGGTCAGGCTTATAAAGCCGCCCTTCCCTGTCCCTAATCGACGGCTCCACGTGGGCGACTAGGCCCCTGGAGCGACACGCTTTAGCGAAGATGTCGACCGCCAGGTCGTGCCGCTTAATTCGCTGATGGTGCGTCACCGGACGCCGCTGGAGGATATGGGAAAGAGTTTCCACACGGCGGCATCTGACTCTGCACATCCGCGCAGGGGCCGGGAGGCGGGTGTTATGGAGCCTGCCAACGGTGGGCAAGGTATTAGTTCGGAGCTGCACCGTGCGGACGTGGTCTTCACCGGACCACCCCTGAGAGGGGTTCGTGATCCACCGGCTGGCCGCCGCGTTCGCAACGAGCCGCCAAGGCGCTGCCCCCAGTAAGCCCTCTGCGCTGCCCCACGGCCAAATGACCGTATGCTGTCCGCCAACAGTGACCTGACTCCGACCACGCAGTCGGACCGGAGGGCGGCAGCTAGCTGGGGGTCGTCATGTAAACCCAGCCTCTCCAGCCGGCCCACCAGGATATTAGTGATCCTGCCGGACAAGCAAAAGAAGCCGAGGCCCCCAGCCTTTTTGGCCGCGTACAGCAGGGCATTGGGCGTTTGCGAGGGCAAGTGCAATGCGCACTTGACAGTCTTTCGGACGACCTTATCCGCCCGATCTAGTGTGGCCCGCATCACTCCCGGGTTCTACAGCGAGAACAGGTACTTAGGAAGTATGTATTCCTACAGCAACCTCAGGCGCTTGTAGGGCTTGAGGGGCACTCTCAGCAGGCGACCCATGGCGTCCCCGAGGCAGTCCAATGATGGCGGGTCCGTCCCCATGAAGCCGACCTTGTGGCCAAGGTATTTAAAAACGGAGTCGGCACCGACGACAGGGACAACTTTGGCCCCGATGAATAGAGGGTCCTGGGTGGCCAGATACAGCTTCTTCAAGGCTGGAGCAACGGTAATGTTGAAGCATTTGCTAGCATTCAGCTCCATACTCCGGGCCTCGAAGAAGCGCTGGCATTCCCTAAGGACGACCTGCATTTCCCTCGTTGACTGGGTCAAGAGGAGCAGGTCGTCCGCGTACGCCATGGCGTTGACCCTTACGTCGCCGATGCCGACCCCGGTCGGCATGCTGGACAGCCACACCATCAACTCGTCGAGGACTAAGTTAAACAGGATGGGAGAAAGGGGGTTGCCCTGCTTTACGCCCCGCAGGAGCGGGATGCTCTCGACGCGGATGGAAGTGGCACACCCGGACAGGCCGTCATCAGATAGTCAATAAAGGGCTGCTCAACCCCAAATCTGTGGGCCCTCACGATGGATGCGTGCGGAACGGTATCGAATGCCTTCCGCAAATCGAGGGCGCTGACACAGTATGGCCTTGAGGAGGCACGGCAGCCCTTAATGGCGGCCTGCAAAATGATGGCGTTTGCCATGGCCCCATCCAGACCTCGAAACCCGCGCTGAGTGGAGTGAATCTCTAAGGCGCCCAAGCGTGCCGCTAGTATGCGGTGAAAGGTCCGAATAAGTATGTTAGAGACGGTAATCGGCCGCCAGGAACCGACATCAGCAGGGTCGCCGCCACCCTTGGGAATCAGGGTGCTACGGCAACCCTTGAGGATAGATGGTGTGCGGCGGGTCAGGAGCATGGCGTTGTAGATCGCCACGCTCCGGACATCCAGCCTCGTCAAGTCGGCCCCCGACATGCCGTCCGGACCAGCGGCACTGGACGCCCTAGGGCATCGGATGGCTGTCTCCACGGACCGCAGGAGGACAGGCGAATACAGACCCCGTACCAGTGTCTTGTAATCCGATATAATCTGCCTGTCCTCAGGCGCGGCCCCCGCGAACACAGCCTCATAATGCGCGCGGATCTCTCCATCTGAAGGGACCACTCCCATGGCGGCGGGGTCCACGCCGCGAACGATGAGGTCCGCAAGCGCAGACCTGTCCTTACTATACAGCTCCTGATACGCGCCCGGGCGCATGGGCACCGCAGCCGCAAGGTGCCTGTCTCGGACAGCGACAGGGTGGCCCTCGACAGTCGACCATAGCGCCAGATAAATCTCCTCCAGCAACCGCGTCCCCGACACCACCGACGATCCGGCCGACGAGCTCCCGGATGGCGTGGGATACTCCTGCCTGGGCCGCCAGCTCCGAGAGGTACTCCCTGATGACCTCAGTGCCACCCGGTGCGGCCCCAGCAGCAAAGGCGCCGGTCTGGGAGGCGGAGGGCGCCGCGGCCGGAGCGCCGGGAGAAGACGAGGCGGAGGAGGGGGCGGACGATGTTGACGGCAATGACGAGGAGGACGGCCCGGCCCTGAATACGGAGTCGCCACACTCCAACGGCGGGGACGACGATGGGGCAGCCCTCCGTGATGGCGGGCTGGCGGACTGATCGCCAGTGGAGGAGCTCGGTCTAAACCGGACGGCCATCCTCCAAGTCTTGGTGCCCCTCCGGGGATGCGCCGGCGGCGAAGGCGGCCGCAACGGGCTCACCTGTGAGGGCCGGTCGAATCGAGCAGGGGAGTGAGTTGGATGGTCCGGAGCCTCCTGTTGTTCAGCTTCCACTGCTGGGCACGCAAAGAGCAGTAGGTCCTCTGCTTGCGTAGGTTTTTTATGGCGTCCACAGTACGGTGGAACTTCTCAGCCAGATGTTTATTGACTGTTGTTCCACCGTACTCCAACTCCGCAAGGCATATGGCAGAACGCTCCACCTCAGAAATTGGATCTGCCCTCCGACGATCACCCAGCTCGACACTCCTACGGCAAGCGTCCGGGTGGGCGCGGCGCATGTGCTGCCGCGCACCAGCATATGTGGCCAAGGCCCGGCCACACTCCTCACACCCGCTGGGGCCCTCCCCGACAGCGCCACGACAGTATCGCCTCCGATGTTGAGCCAAGCTGGCCGCCGTCAGGTATCCTCGACCGCACCTCTCGCAGGGAAGCCGCCCTGAGAGGCCATGCGATACGCGCACATACCACACGCGCGCGAAAAGACGAGATAGGAGAAAAGTGCGTGCCGGTCAGTAGGATTCCTTAAGATGCAGGAACCCAACTGGTTGAAGCTAAAAACACCGACTGGACACTAATTTCAAAACCGCGAGCCGTAGGACAGAAAACAATCTCGAAGCGGCCGCGCCGAGACGGCTGCACCGACGGCCGCACAACACACGCGCGATAGATGAGAGGGGCGGTCCGCTCCGGCGGCGCGACAGAACAGCGCAGGCAAGGGGTGGTAGTTGGTGGGGTGATGGCGGGCGGTGAGGTGAGGGGGGGTGGCAACCAGGAACTCGCCCCTAGTTGGCTATCCGACCAGAGATGTAATGCCGGAAGAGTATCAACCCGAATTTTCCGACTTTGGTCACCCTGTATCTTACAAAGGGGGAGTCGGAACCGGAAACGCCCCCGCCAACTAACAGATGGTACGACTAGCCAGGCTAGGCCAAACAAGCAGCCTCCTCCGACGAAAAAAATTTTCGGAGGAATAAAATGTTCAAAGGTAGCTAACAAAAAGAGCCGAATTTTGACCCCCTGTAAAACAGGGGGTATGGCTCGTAGGGGCTTGAAAACCTGCACAGGGGTTGGCAGGAGGCCAGACAACAACCCCCCAAAATTTCACCCCTCTGTCATTCGGTCGGACTTAGAAAAAAAAATTCACCGACGGGCGCGTATAAAAGCACCCCCGATTGACCCACCCCCTCGGCTATCGTCGAAAACGCCCGCAAAGCGCTTCCCGGGGTGGTACAGCCTCCGAGAGGTGCAGGGGCGCCAAATATTTTCGGGAATGCCCCGATATAAGGGGGGCAAAGACGGTAGAGAAGAAAAAAAAAGAGTGTAAATAAAACCCAAATCGGGCCTCTCCGAACTGTCACCTCCTACCGTGAAATGCGCGCTAATTTGGCGTTATACGTTCAAGGTCAAAGCGTCCACTGCACCTGGTAATCATCCCCGAAATGTCCGAAAAGCCCAGGCCCGGCTCGTTAACCGGAACCCGCTTCCTCGCCAAGCCCGACACGCCCCGATCCTCAGAGCCAATCCTTATCCCGAAGTTACGGATCCAATTTGCCGACTTCCCTTACCTACATTATTCTATGGACTAGAGTCTCTTCACCTTGGAAACCTGCTCCGGATATGGGTACGAACTGGCCCGACGTCTCAACGTGGCCATAACTTAGCGGAATGAAACTTACATTAAAACTACAGGTAACTTCACCAGCTTCACACAAAATTCACTTTCTTGGATTGATAGTAGGTTTTCCTTATCATTTTAAACAGATTCCAGTCAAAATCGGCTTCTCCGACTCTTATCGTACCTAAAACAGCATCAAAACTGCAAATATCAGTATAAACTATCATTTTTTGATACAAACAGTTACATATTCATGTCAATATCTTTCAAATACGTCGGCGTCTTTGGGCATTTTAATAACGAAAACCTTAATAAACTATTAGATTTCGACGTAAGACGACCTTTCTGAGTCAAATAGTTGCCAATTTCGATAAAATCTTAGTCAGAATCTGCTTTTTTGCCTCTTATTGTACCCAAATCTACCTTAGAAATGCAGATATATACTGAAAACCCCTCCTTTTGGGACAAATAATTGGTATTCACCCTTGATTTACGGCAGATTATAGCCAAAACATGCATTTTCATAACTTAGAGGGTTGAAATCTACATTAAAACTGCAGGTAACTACTTAAAAATTCACTTTCTTGGATTGATAGTAGGTTTTTCTTTGTCATTTTAAACAGATTCCAGTCAAAATCGGCTTCTTCGATTCATATCGTATCTAAAACTGCATCAAAACTGCAAATATCAGCTTAAACTATCATGGGTGTAAAACCCCTTTTTAAATCAAATAGTTGCCGATTTCGATATGATCTCTGTCAGAATCTGCTTCTTCGCCTCTTAATGCACCCAAATCTACCTTAGAAAAGCAGATATGATCTTAAAACCCCTCTTTTTGGGACAAATTTGGGTTTTCGCTCTTGATTTCGAGTAGATTATAGTCAAAACCTGCATTTTCATAACTTGGCAGACCGAAATATACATTAAAACTGCAGATTACTACGGATTTTCAAGGTCCCAGGGGAAGATGTGGTCACCGCTGCAACTGCGGTGCTCTTCACGTTGCAAACCATATCTCCCTGATAGAAGTTTCCATGGAACTTTAGGTGAGTTTATGGACTTTCGACACCACACCCCGTTCCATGAAATGGTCGCTGCGGTGGTCGAGATTTTCTCTTCCGGGACGTGTAGGTTTATGGGACACGCCTGTGATGAGTGCACTGTTGCCAGCGTACTTCGCAACCTTTGCTTGATGCTCTTGCCGCGGTGAGACCACCTGGCCGTCTACTATGACAGCGAGGCTAGCCTTGCTAGCGATGATCCGCTCCCGCTCGACGTGGCAGCCGTTGTTCCGTAGTCCACCCGCCAAGGCAGGGCAAACTGCATCATGACGGAGGATCTGTCCTTAAACAGTAGCGGTGACAATGGATCGCCTTGATGGACTCCCACCGAACCGCTGTTGACTGCAGGTGCTTAAGCGCGACGTTCATCCCGAATCGAGTGCTCGAGAGCACGACCAGGTCGTCGGCATAAGACAGGCACTGGATGTTCTCGCTTCCCTCCAACGTGTATCCAACTTCCCGCGGCATACTGCGCAACGCATAGACAAAACACAGGTTAAACAGGAGGGATGATAAGGGATCCCCTTGACGAACTCCTCGCCGAACTCTCACCTCCTCAGAAACTTGACCGGACACTGATATTACCGTGGAAACCTTGCTGTACGCCGTCATCACATACTCCATGAATGGACCACATCTAGAATTGCCGTGTTTTCACAGAACCCATAAGCGGTCATAAAGACACGTTGGCGCTGATCTATAACGTTCGAATTCCCCAGGCGGATAGCCAACACACGGTTAAACTGCCGCAAGCGTACTGGAGCTACGGTAATCGGTCTATATTCTCCTGGATGTTCTGAGAAAGCTTTCTTTGGTAGTAGCGAAGTTCGAGCCTTGAAAAGCCGCTCAGGTATTTCGTAGGTCAACATCACCAAGTTATACAAGAGAGCACGCATTCTGGCAGGCATAGCCTTCTATTGGCGAGGCGTAACTCCATTAGGGCCCGGCGCAAAGTTGAGCTTAATTTCGTTTTCTGAAATTTCTGCTTCCGTCATTGCGTCATGCGCTAGGAGTTGGGAAACAACTTTCTAGCCATTCCGTGAGCAAGTGCAGAATCGGTGTTCCTTCCAAGGCCCGCCGAGCTTTCGTGATAAGAAGATTGCAGGAGTAGGTGTCCGTATCAAACAGGCCATTCGCAAGCCTCTCTCACTTTAGTCCTCAGTGGTTCCTCGGCTCTGCCAGCGGCATCACGTACATTCACCGCCGGACTATTGAAGGCGGACGGAGTGGATCCATGGAAGGACAAGAGATCTCTACAGTCAGCTGCTGACTGCAGCCGTTGCCCTTGACTGTCAGAACTCAAGTTCAATAATGAGCGTAATGGCGCCTGTAATGGCTTCCAACGAACGCCCTGACATTTTGTGGAGTAGGAAGAGGTTCAAGATAGATTCCCCCTTCTGAGCCATGAGCTAGAGCTGCCAGCGCATTTTGCGACTGGGCACTTTGAGCTTCTCGTTTGTGTCCTCCTGGTGTGCCCCCCAACGGTGCACCCCCTGTCCAGACTTGGTGGTAAACGATCTACCGCATATCGGACAGAGAAATTCATCTGTGTGCGTTGGTCCGGCTACGCCGTTGGGATCGGCAACGGTCGTCGATCGCTCGGGCTACAGCGTAGCCTAGAATTATCAGCAGTTTCTTGTAAAACCTTCAATCTATGCAAAAATATTCTGCAGATTTATCGTTTAAATTCTTCCTGTTCCAGCTGAACTGATTCTGGTAATTCCCCACTTTGTGCGGGAATAATTTCTGTAATTTTTGACCAACCGAAAAACTATTTCGTTTTCAGCGTGATGACAAACGAGAACTTTTCCACACTGAGTTTTACAAGGATTTGTAATTGTCAAAAGGTATTTCGTGAGATTGTTAGAGTAAAACTTGCAGTTTAATTGTTTTCTTATATTTCTTGTAATTCTTGTACCTTAAAACATGTTGCCTAAGCATTTTTCCTATGTAGCTATTTAACTGACCTTTGCAGTTTGTTAAATCACTCATATTTGTCACATTTGTTGTAATTTCTTGAAGGAGCAAGTTTGTACCATCGTCCGTGATGCCAACCTAACCAAACCGTTGCCCGTGGTGCCAACCTAACCAAACCGTCGTCCGTGGTGCCAACCTAACCAAACCGTTGTCCGTGGTGCCAACCTAACCAAACCGTTGTCCGTGGTGCCAACCGTGGCGTAGCCCCCGCTGGTAGTCCCCCCTGGGCCCCCCGCCCTTCTTAAAGTATCTCGGGGCTGCCTAACCAAACCGTCATCCGTGGTACCAACCAAAACCCGTCCGTCGTTGAACGGTCACTTTAATGCCGAGCTAATTATGCACCGCCGGTGCCGTCCCGTTGCTGCTAGATGTCGCTCGCGCGCGCTCTCGACAGTATTCCTATCAGCGGCTGCGTCACCGCGAGGCGCCCCCCCGGCAGGTGACGGAGACGCTAGGACGGGATGACGCGGTGATCGGGAGTATAGGATCGACGGTAAACAAGTCGAGTGACTTATACATAGTGTCTTAATCAGGTACACCCGGTGTGTCCAAGTTTAATTAAAGAAAACTATATACAATAACAAATATTTATCGAGGAGGGTCTTCTTCTTTTTGCGTCCACTTTGTCGGCCATCCCGATGTTCCTGTTGATGACGTTCTTGTTCCTGTTCTTTCAAGAAATCTATATAGGAAATACACTCCTCACCGTCTCCCTCTGTCGACCACCCACCCTGCTGGATGCGCCAATATAATGTGTGTGAAAGTTACACACACACATACCAACATTCACATTTCTACTTATTTTCATTTAAAAGACATTAAAAACACTATATACTTCAATTTAATTTGATTATTTTTGAAAAGTAAAAACGCGGATTATTGTCAAACAGGCAAACCGAACAAAAAACAAAATATGTATATGTCGCGTTTGCGTATAAAACACATTTTTCTAAACAAAACTTTCAGTAAGTGACGCAAGTAAAGTCACATTTCTATTCCCTGTCATTTAAAAGATATTAAAAAACACTATATACTTCAATTTAATTCGATTATTATGCAACGTAAAAAAGTGGATTATTATATCATAAAAACAGGTAGGAACTGACCAAAAAAAGTGGTCATTGTTTTTTGTTATTCACAAATCACTGAGAAAATTAACGAAAACTGAAACCCACAAAAACAAAACAAAAAAAAGACTCTCACTGTATTAGGGTAAATTAAAATCATAAAACTTATCAGTTGTAGAGTCATAGGGAAATAGATATCGCACTTGACATTGCACTGAATATAGTCTACAATACACATTAAGTGTATTTATTCACATGATCTCCCTTCCATGGTTAAATTTAAAATTAAAAATTGACTTAAAAATCGAAAGGCACAAACGCCTGTTTGAATAAACACGATGTACGTATGTTGTCACAAGAGGGCAATGCAGGTGGGAGTCTCAAGGTCCACGTGCTCAGACGGGAACGACTTGAGACACAACCGCTTCGGACGTGCAGTCTGCCGCATGCAATGTTAAAGCGTGTCGACTTTCACATGACGTAATTTGACAAAAAAAAATTAACACCCAACAAAATTACTCATAGCACACGCATATATAATTTGCGCATTACAATCAAAAGCTACCCATTCGCCCACTAGGATATTGCCGCAACGTAGTCTCTTACATACGGTTACGAGGCATTGACATTGCAAAATTAATTCCAGATAAGGTGGAATATATTAAAAAATTGTATCTAATAGCACATTCAATCTTTAAACAAATCCCTTTTAGATTGATAAACACTTTTGAAGATAGGCATGGAGTAATATTTTTGTAAATCGGATCGCAGTTAATGGTAGACACGTACACAAGGATATAAGTAAATACAATTAAATATGACCCAGTGGCAGATTATTTACCAGTTAGTTTATAAAATTAAAAAGAAAAGCAACAGGAATCAGGTTAAAACAAACTATTTATTAACACATTAAACATCCTTTATTGGCAGTGAAAAAAAAAAAATAAAAGTAATTCTATTGCAGGTAATAAGCGAAAAATATTAAGGGCTTCCGGTCTTTTTTATATTAAATATGCTCAAAATATAATGAAAAAATCAATATATTTCATGCATTTTTTAAATAAAAACTTAACGAGGCTGCCAGACGTGAACTGAGCCCTTAAGCGCACCTCATTCGATTTTTAGGAAAAAACGAAATTTCAAAGCAAACCGATGAAACACATTTATAATCAAGCGGAGACAGTTTCTTCTTCCATAATCGAATAGTGACCCCACGGTAAGGTATCTACTGAGGACTTTGATATGCGACGTTTATCACCTCAAAGACTTAACCCGATCTTCTTTTGGGATACTGTGTGCAACTCCAGTTTGCTCGCTCTTATTAAATTCTGCGATATGTTTTTTTCAGCGAAATTTTGCAAACAATCGACGAAATCTTTAAAAGTTATCTTAGTTTTGATGAAGGATTTTATACCTTCTTTGATCCTCTTCGTTACACCGAAGTTTTTAAATTCACGTTCAAATGCTTCTCGATCTGTTTCTGCAGCCATCAATTCCTGTTTTGCGGACTCCTTTTCCTCCGGTGTCTTATCTAGCTTTGTGGCGTACATTTTAGCTCTAATTCCGATAAAATGAGACATAATTCGCCCATTATTCTCATCCGTCTTCATATAAAGTTCAGAATAATCCTGCAAATTTCGACATCCAAGCTTCTCCCAGACTTCCTGAGCACGTTTGTAATCTTTTTTGGTCAACGGTTTGTCATCCAATATGTTATAAAATCCCGAAATAGGAGGCAAAACAGTTTCTTTCAACGTATTCCATCCATTCATATAATCGTAGGGGAAAACGCCTTTTTGTTTCAATATATAGGCTTGCTCCTCCGACAATTCACTAAATTCGAGCTCCAGTATTGGATATTTCGTTAAATTAGCCGCCAGCTTGTCCAGGCCACTCGACATAAATCGAAAACTGTCGATGAATCGGAATTTCACCAGGTTGTCATTTAGGTGCCACGTAAAGGAAATATACTTTTCCTTGTTTACAGGTAGCAAGTCGATCTATCCATCATATTTGGCTAGAGCTTTTATTATTATATTTCCGTCATACGAAGAAAGATTATGAAATACTACGGGAACGGTGTGGCCATCCCTAAATTGGAGATTACAATTTTCGTGTGCGGGTCCCTTGTATTTCCCAGTCAGGTGACAATGGTCTCGAACTTTTTTGTCGTCTTTTTCAATGTTCTCAGCTAATTGCTCCATCTCATTGCAGAACTATTCCGCACAATCCTCTCCCGTATACGACCGATAATATGAAAGGGAGTCGTCATATGAACATTTAAAATAATAACCTAGAGAGTACGGAACATGGCGCTGATACTTCTCAGTTTCGGACGCTGATTTATCACATTCGGGAACCAAAAAACATTCCGTGTCGGCATAAACAATAAAAGGAACCTTCTCTTTGTACTTAAAGTCCTTGAATTGCACAAAATTCTTGCCTTCTTCGGGGACCCTCGGAATTTCCAAATTTTTGTTTCTCTTCTCACAATCATTGGCGTGTTTCGCTAACTTGTCTTTGGAATAAAAATAATGCAGGCAACGCTCACAAAAATATTTTCTACCATTATGTTTCGAAAGTTGGGATGATAAAAGCCGAGACATACTTTTGATCCACACATAATGGTACGTAACCGGCGTAAAATCGATGGGGCCTTTTTCGGTAAAATACTGACTTTGTATCTGTAGTAGGTTAACGTGTTTGACCTTTTTATCTTTGGTCAGATAAGCAGGAACAATTTGAAACCTATTTGATGATTTTTTCAGCAGCCTATAAACATTCACCGAAACATTATTTTGACCTTCGAATCTTGAAATTTGCCGCAATGTCATTGGAAACTGGACACCTTTAAGATTTAAAACAGACTGCTCAGGTAACTTCCGGCGTGAAGTGGATTAAACTTGTTGATATTGACCATTAAATTTAGGATTTTCTTCAAAGCCCACCCGGAATCTTTTTCTTGGAACTGCTCTAATTTGGTTATAATTGTTAATACAACATTTCTATCAAACCATCGTTGTAAATTAGTATCTTTATAGATTGCTGCGTTCGAAGTTGTAAAATATTTAATTTCCGTCTGGATTTGATCAGCCTTTTGAATTTGAAATTCTCCCCCGAAGACAGCGTTTATCTTAACGGCCTGGTCCGTTTTCAGCGCGTTGTTGACACGTCGTCGAAATAGTGCGAAACAATCTTGGAGGAACCTCTGCACGTCCTTATGATGAAGGTTAGTTATGACACCAGTCCTGATGTGCGATTCAAATGTTGAATTAACATCATCCCAGTGAACGCGATCTCCCGAGTTACATGTCAATAAACTGCTTACCTTAGTATAATTTAATCGCACAGTGTGCATTTAGATATCGCTTTATTCCGTTTATGTAATTGTATACAACTTAACGTTAAGATAATTTTGAGACAGGAGAACCAGTTCTGTTCTTAACTTCAGGCAGTCAACTCGCTTTTGTTGTTATAAATCGTTCCCGTTTTTAACGACAATAAAATTCTTTAAGCAAATTAAAGTTTTTTAAAAAAGTGTTTCTCTGATCAACAAACGTAACTCCCGCAGTTATGGGTCTACTTCCGGAACTTCTCTTCAGCATTCCTTTAAATTTACTCCGAAACGATTTAACTTGGACCATTTGAGCTACGAGACGTTGTTTTTCTCGCATCGTTTTCGTAGTCCGCATTTCCTTTTGGATTCTTCTTATCGCTTGAGTACATTCTTTCATACCCTGAGCGACACCATCATTTTTAGGAGAAGTCAGTAAAAGAGCCAACAAAGCTCTAATGGCTCCAATAAGCGCTTCGACCACAGACATTTTTTTCACTGTGCCGCACACGTACTACAACTCTAAAGTTAGAGCACAACAGAAAATCCCAATTTGAGTGTCCTGTAAGGTAAACTTTGGAAGGACATAGCACTGAACGCTATTGTGTGGTCCGGACCTTCGATAGAAGATTTTTGTGAACTGTTGAGTAGTAACACGGATTTTTTAAAATAAATCGGTCCAACGACACGTGCATAAATTTTATTTACGTCAAATCGTTTATTTAAAGTATCACAAAATTTAACTTTGGCAAACTAAACAAAAGTAAAAGTTTCGTTGGCATCAAACGTTAATATAGCAGCATCCTATAAAGAAACCACAATAATTTTTATAGATCATTATTGCTAAACTCAAAAAAATGGTAAATCAATCTTGTTTTTTACATCAGAACCCTTAATACCCAAAATAAGTCAAAACTTAAGATCAAAAGGTCAAATTAAAATTTGTAGAATATAATTGAACGTTCATAATTCCAACGAAATATTATATTCTAAATTTAGTGACTGGGTCAGAATGGTGATGCTTTATTTAATGTGAAATCGCATATCGGATGATTCTATGCATAGCAAAGTCCTCGATATTTTGAAAATATTTAATATTCTCAGTATTCATACCTGTGGTATTTTTTATTTAATCGTTGTGAAAATATGAAACCATAATGAAACTGTAGGTACTTACCACTTGCTATAATAACACCAAGACTTATAGTAGAAAAAACGGAGATTGAAATTACTTGCGACTTGATACACACGTCAAATAACAACGGTGGCAATACGAAGACTCTGATAACGCATCTATGCCTGTCCGCGCACGGAAAATTTCTTCATGGTGGGGACGCACTTGCACGCCTTAATACATCGCGTTGGCCGTAACGAGATTGTGGTGCGCCTTGCATTCTGGATGATATCGACATGGCGACAATGAGAAGAATTGTATCCAAGAACAGCAAAAGAAAAAACAAACATGAATATGATATTACAGGATAACAAGGAAAAGGTTTACAGTTTTTGAAATATTTCGGTTATTCATTTCCAAAAACAGTCGGTTTCTTAGTTAACAAATTAAGAGCGGAATGAATGTGGGCTTATATGGAATGGGCAGCTACTTAGTCGAAAAAATTCTTACCCAAGCTGCATTGACGACAGAAACCATAGTGACCGCCGTCTGACGTACGAGTAAACACGCCTGTCTTTCTTCCGAAAAATAAAATGGATTTCATTTGAATATAAGCAGTTACAAATATAATTCGCATCAATTCGTCAAGACTACTGAACCAACAAAAATACGAAAAAATATATCGAAAGCTGATTCGCGTGGCAGTTTATATTCAATTTTTGTTGACGCGACTTTTCGTTGACCATATCTTGTAGATTGCAAGAGCCACGCACCCAACTGTAAATTAGCAAATAACTTACAAGCAATTCCTGTTCATACAAAAGAAAACATTCATATATTTAGTAATTAATATGTCAACCCGTTCAAGAAATATAATGGGCATACTAATAGATGTTTCTCAATATGGAGTCATTGATAGGCATAACATAAAATGTAAACGAATGAGTTCAATGGATCCAGTGACTCCGCAATGTAAAAAAGAGATCTATATTTACTAATTAAGAGTTTCACCGCACATAACCTCAAACTTGGATCGGATCAAAAAAGAAAGTATATTAAGGTTCAAGTTTATTCCATTATCCGCCCGTCCCTGTCACCTCGACACCACGCCCCGCAACGCGCCATCTGCAGGGGGGAGAGGGGTCGCACACACATTACCGCCGCGTTAGATACCCCCCAGATGGCGCGTTGCGGGGACGCGAAGTCAATTTGACAGGGAGGAAGCGATGATGTTACCCAGCCGTCGAGTTTCGAAGTGCAAAACACGGCGTTATTCGACCGCATGTCCCAATGCTTTGTTTAAACGAACCCAAGGAAACTGGTTACTCATCGCGTTGGTAATTTAATTTTTAACGCCGCTGCCGCACACCGACGACGCAGCGATCTCACCCGCTGTCACATTTGCGGTGGGCGATGATGTCACCCAGCCAGTTCAACGCGCCTCGTCGACTGAGTCATCGCATGTCCCAACGCTTTGTTTAAAACGAGACGAAGGCGTGAGTCATCGCGCTGTCGTATGACGGAAATATAATAATAAAGGTTCTAGCCAAATGTGATGGGTCGATCGACTTGCTACCTGTAAACAAGGAAAAGTATATTTCCTTTACGTGGCACCTAAATGACAACCTGGTGAAATCCGATTCATCGACAGTTTTCGATTTATGTCGAGTGGCCTGGATAAGCTGGCGGCTAATTTAACGGAATATCCAATACTGGAGCTCGAATTTAGTGAATTGTCGGAGGAGCAAGCCAATATATTGAAACAAAAAGGCGTTTTCCCCTAGGATTATATGAATGGATGGAATACGTTGAAAGAACCTGTTTTGCCTCCTATTTCGACATTTTATAACATATTGGATGATAAACCGTTGACCAAAAAAGATTACAAACGAAAACTAAAATTATAAATTGAGAATATTAACTAATGATGGAGGGGGCTGGAGGCAGATTTTATGGTATTGGCGAATAGACTTCATTGACCTTTAACTTCGGTAAAAATTTCAATTTTCTTGGAGAAAAAAAAATAAAAATTAAAACTTCCTGAACAAAATCATGATAAATATGAAAATAATAAATTGCAAATATTAACCAAAAATAGGAGG